ATTCCCTGGAAATACATCCCCTGTTTGACCATCGTCATATACTACTATTGTAGATGTAAGCAACCCACACCATACAATGAGTGATATACTATACTACTTTGAACTTCATTGCATTAGTCGTGTACCAAACAATTTCATCACTTTAATGTAAAAAAAATGTTTCTGTAAAACGTTTAGAGTATTATTTATTTGTCATTTCAGATCTGTATTCAATATGTACAGCCATAATTTCATGAGGGAGCCAAACATGTAGCTTGAATGCATTTTGGTTATCAATTCTGTTATGAGTTTATCCAGTTAAAATTCAACGGTTTATGTTGAGTTTTTTTTGTGGTCATTTATAAACGTTTTCTGTGAAATTATAAAGAAGATTCTGATTCTTATTCAGCTGATATCTTCATCTGATAAGCAATATCTATGAATATTTATTCTTCGAGTATAGAATCAGAAAGAAAACAAGTACGATGAAATTGAAATGATTATTTCAATTCTAATAATCCATACTCTTCTCCAGTCTCATTCAAAAAAAAAACCCAGAATAATCAGCTGATTCCATAGAATCATTTCAAATAACAAAGCTAGTTTCAACATCATTCATTGGAAATTTCAATGTGATGTAATTTACTATAAGTGATCATTAAAATATCATCATAACTAGACAGTATAGTAATATAAAAAAAGGATAACCTAGTTGTATTTTATTTGATTTTTGAAAGATTTTAGTGTAGGTAGGTAATCCTCCTGTTGGAAGAATTATTTCTTGCTAACATTAATATTATCAGCAGTGGAAACGATCATATCAACGGGCAAACTTTATATCAATCAATCAATCAATTAGTAAATTTAAAAATAGCTATTCATTTATCAGTTTGGTTGTGACTTTACTTGATATGAAATACTGATGGTTTGTTGAATATTATGATAATAAACCTAATGTATTTGAAAAGTTAATGAATATACTATTGACCATAAACTATAGTCATATGTATTTATAAGTATGCTGGATTATATGTTGTTAGATAAATGAATCCAAACTGATATCTTACATCATTTACAAAAGTTTACTATTATCAATAATTGATAACGTCATGTTTAAATTATTAATAGTTCCTTTTGATCAGTATAAGGTTGTGGAGATTGTTGAGTTTAAATTAATATCATGAAAGAATTAATGTTAGTCCACCATTAAAAACCTAGAAGCACTGGACAGACGTTTCAATCCAGTGTGGGACTACTCAATAGTATGTATTCACGGTCCCGCACGCAGGACTCGAACCCAGGACTTTCGATCACGTTTGACCGCTATACCACTGAGATGAGCAGCATTCAACGGTGTTAATGTTTGACTTCAACCAATCCTATACTGATATTTATCATATGCTTACTAGTGACTGACTTCAAGATGAATTTCCTGAAGTTCTAGTAAGAATCCGTTGCCAGTAAAGTTTAACCGTGTCTGTTGTGAGGCAGTTACTAATTGAAAACAATGATGGATTTTTGTGCAATATTGTTGATTGTTTGAAAATGGGCATTAACACAGTTGAATGTTGCCCAGCTCAGTAGTCTAGAGGTTGACTGTTTGTGAGCAAGATCGAAGGTTCTGGGTTCGAATCCTGAGTGCGGGATCGTGGTTATGCACTATTGAGGACGCTCATACTAAGACTAAACGCCCGTCCAATGTTTCCGGGTCTTCAATGATTGTCTAATATTCACCTATTAATGATATCAATTTAAATTTCTTTCGAATTAATCTATCAGATAAATTTTTCCATCCATTTTTGAGTTTATGATTACTTTGACGATTAAGATAATGAAATCACTTAGTAACTAAATATAGTTCAAGCAATTTCGGAATGTTCACAAACGTTTGATGTGGATAATCCTTTAATCTCGATTCCCTATGAATTGTTTAATGATGTACTATTTTTTTCTAACTAATAAAATGATAATTCAGTATCTTGAATGATTTATCAATAAAGTAGGATTAGAAAAATTTAATTTTAACAAACAACTTAATTAACATTTCTAGATTATGGATATTAGTAAAAATCCCAATTGTTCATTTCTGTTGTATTTAGAACCAGTTAAATTGATACACCTTCATCTTAATGTCCATAAGGAGATTCAAATCAATTATCTATAACTTCAAACATTAACTCGATATCCATAGTGTAGTGAAAGAGGACCCAACTGAAGACAATCGAATATATTTGTACATAAAATTACAGAACATCTTAGTAAAATCTGAGAACTATACAGTAAATACTTCATTTGAAAGTGTCAATCAATCGTCTCAGACTTGATTGGGTTTTTTTGTTTCCACACTAATCTGTCTCTGTTCTTGTTTTCTTTTCTTTGATCTTCTTAACCTTCTGCTACCAGGCATTTCACGTGCTATTGATGATACATACTACTTATATCTGTCGACATCAGTAGCACACATCGAAATAGGACTATGAAATTAAGTTAACTGTTATATCACGAAGAGTATTATTAATAGTAACTTTTGATACCTATTTATGGACCAATATGATATGTATATTTCATATTGTATAATTGTTAAGTAAATTAACTATTCATATTCATGTTCCTTTTACTATGAGCTTTATTTTGACCCACAGACCATTACTGTACTATTTATCATTCTTAAGTTATCCCTAGCCTATTGACTAATGTTCCACCTATTCATATTCATATTTAGCTAAATCTTGTACAAACGTTGATTTCCTATTTTATGGTACGATATTGGTCTGTTTGATTGTTATATAAACCCAGTATGTTTGAGAATTATGATTCATATTGCAGAGGCTGTTATTGGTGTTTTGGACGTAACTGACTGGGCTAGGCAGATAGATGACCGACAATTGCTCTAGACTGCTCATACGGGTTTCGTGTACCATTGATACGATCAATAAATCACTGCTCTCTATAACGAGGTAATACGCACAGTATGCACATATCCCAATAAGAGACTGGCCAGTTGCAGTCCTAAACATCAATGGGAAGATTCAAACAAACAATACCAAGTGAATTTATTGTATTCATTTTGTAAATGAATAAGGATCATATTATTGTTACATTAGTTTTTCTTCTTCTAAACTGATGACAATGTAACCACCTACATGGATTAGTTAATTCTGAAAACAACTTTTTAAGAAACAATACTTGAGAATTACTACTGTGAACATCAAAACAAACTCAAATCGATACAATTTCACTTTGATAAACAATTTTTTTTCAGTCAGTCAGGTAATGAGTTTAGTCAAATAACAAAAGAAAGTAAACCCATTTTAAGAGTAATGTATGAGATAATGAGTAACATATGGTATTCTTGTGAACATCATTATTTTATAATTCGGAAATTTTAATAATACTTAGTACCTTCATTTTAGGAGCTGAAGAACCTTATGATATTTTGAAAATAGAGTCAAGTTTAGACACCATTATAGTAGTATTAGTGTGGTGTAGGTTGCTGGTATCCATATAAGTAGTATATGATGCTGGTCATGCAAAGAATGTAGTTCAGCAGAAAATTGATAAGGAAAGGACGGAAACGGAACGTAATCAGTATGAAAATGCATGAACAATAATAATCGGAGATATTTGCAGAAGGAACAGTCAAGATTGATAGTTTGCAAATTAACTGTTCACTGTATGGTTTTCAGATTTTAGTGAGATAGTCTTTAACTTTCGTGTCAAATACATTCGATTGTTCCCACTCATGTTCTTGTTCACTACAATAACATACATGAAAGTTGATTTCGTGAACTTTTGAAGTTATATGTAATTTTCTGGGCTGAATATCGAAATAATATTAAGTTACGATAGTGTAGTAAGAAGACGAAGATTATCAGAACTATGTGGTGATATATTAGCGCAATACATTTCGAACAATCTGATCACACACATACTTGTTAAGAACATTTATATATAAAAATAAAAGGTCAACTAGACTGGGAATGGAGGGGGGGGAGTAAGAGCAGACAAGGGTAATAATAATAATAATGTGAAAGCCATTTGAAACCTGATCACTCTGGCTAATAAGCTAATATTACCAGGATAGGTTTAAGGTGAGAACAAACTGGAGATAACAAATAAAGGAACGAAGTATTTTACTATTTTCGGATATGTAGTTTTCTAATAAAATGTAATCATTTGATTAATCAATTTAACTACCCTCTCCTCTCAGGACATGTTTCCTATCCTAAAAAGAAATACTTATCCTACAGGGTATACACATTGGTTTGTTTCCACTAAACCTTTATGTTGGCTTAACTTAATGAATCTAAATTCTAAAACATTGATTGTAACTCAGAGCCTTTTAAAATCATTCTTTTGAATAGTCCCTAGCGGTGGTGTGAGTAAATACTGCTTAGAAGTTCTATACTAGAATGAAACATCTGTCTATTGTACGAAGGTTTTCCTTAGCTAATTAATTGAGGTTTGTCTATAATATATCCCGCGAGATTGGTAGGTCCTGGGTTCGAATCTCGCGAATGCAGGATCGTGGATGAGCACTGCTGAGGAGTCCCATAATAGGACGAAACGTACGTTCAGTGCTTTCAGGTTTTCCATGGTTGTCTAGCTTCAATTGACTCATGATTTCAACTATGAAAATGAAAATAGCTCATTTCAGTTATAAACTGAATAAACAGTAGGATACGTGATAGATTTCATATGTGCAACAATATATTATAAAGGCAGTCCTTGAATATGCTAATTTAGTGATTACATATTATGGAAATTTCATGTATATAACATAATAAAGTATCACTAATTACTACATACTATAGTATTAACTTATATTTCTCCTAACTACATTAGTTTTACTGTCGAAATATACTTTACTGAATTGTTGTCTGCATGCTTATGTATCTTTTTGGATTGCACTCATTCTTCTGAATGTACTTATATATTTCCCCAGGTTATCTATCGGAACAACATTTAAGGTACATGAAATCAAACATAATTAATAAGTAATTTATCAAAAAATCACATACTCTCATTTAAATCAGAGTCCAAGATAGATATATCCGGTGATGGTAGAGGTGAATATGGATTACCTGGCCAAAATCCATTTATTACTAATATTTTCATATTATTCTCAGACGAGTAGTTATGAACTGATTCTTTTCTATTGATAGTGTTGTTAATCTCATTGTAATTGGTTTTATGTGTAATTGTGTTAACTACTTGTTTATTATTAGTAGTATCAGTATTATTAATAATTTCATTAGTAATTACTGAGTTCCGTCTACTAGAATCTTCACATATAAAACGTACTTCTTTAAAATCTTTATTACTTTCATACATTGATGATTGAAATCTTGATGAAAATAATAGTGGACTCTTTGATAAATCATTGGAAGATTCAAAATCACTTGATTTTGAAGTTACTGTATTCACATTTATGGATGATGAGAATGTTCTACAAAAGAAAATAGATCAAATGTATGAAAAATGCACTTATTATACTATCAAGTAATACATGAAAAATTTACAATTCGCACGTGCCTGGACCGAATGTTGATATGCTACTAGTGACATGATTATCTCTTGTGATTATAAAAAGATGATACTTGTTGTTCTGATCAAAATTAGATTTGGAGACTGTAATAGTTTTAATAGTTGAATTCATGAGTCGATGTGAGCCAGACGACCAACGGAGACTTGAAAACATTAGATTAATATTTTGTCCCAGTATGGAACACTTCAGTAATGGTCATCCACAATCCCGCACTTGGGACTAGAACTGAGGATTTTTGGCCACGAGAGCGAACGCTTAAACTCTGGACCGCTAATCCGACATCCGATGGTGTTAATGTCTAACTTCAATGGATCTATGAATAGCTGCACAAACATTCATCCATTGTCTGAGGTAGAAACCTGTCTCGACTCAACACGGATTGGACTCCATTGATCATTGCTTTTCATTAGAACTCCAGGAAATAATTTTAAAGCTAGTCACTCACGAGCACATGACTATGATCAGAATGGGATTTGAGATTGTAATAATTTTAATAGTTAGACATCAACACTATTGAATGTCAGATCACTAGTCTAGAGGCTAAGCGTTCACGCGCAAGGCTGGATGTCCTGCGTTTGAAAACCGCATGTGGGGTCGTTGACGCTTACTGCTAAAGAAATTCCATACTAGAACAAGATGGTCGCCCAGTGATTTCAGGTTTTCAATGGTAGTCTGACTTACACAGCCTGATGAATTCAACTTTTTATTCTTTCAAAGGGGAAAAACTGATATGGCTCAATGAAAGGTAGGTTTCAAGACTGTAGACGAACAATGATATCTGTACTAAACCACATATTTAAAACTGATCAAAATATTCAATAAACTGTGTCATTAAAGTATCCAGTCGATACTAAACTCGAATGCACCAATTTGGCAGTATTTTTAGTAATGTATAATAAATCTAATGCACTTAGTGTACAAAAGAAGCTATTCAATTCCGTCTAAATAAAGTTTATAAACGAAATGTCCAGTCCTATACTTTCCACTTTTTTAATCCATATTCGCATACATGACTTTGTTTACTGAAAGGCATTGAAACATGATTTGCATTAAAAACATCACGAAAAATTGACTATCAGATGTTTAATCTCGTTTACATCGATAATTATCATATCTGAAGCGTAGTATTAGTCTAACTTATATTCATATAATAAAAATCAGTATATGAAGTATAGTTCAAGATCAAATTGTTAATCTAACGATTATAACACAGTCCAACATAAATCGATCACTGATAGTCTTATTTGACTGAATTAAATAAGCATCTACAAACTTTTAGTATTGATGTCCACTTTATCTTCAAACGTTGTAAGCGATTATATGAACAAAGGAAAACTCACTGATCAATATAATTTGTATAGTTGAAATCATGGGTCAATTGAAGCTAGACCATCATGGAAAACAAGAAAGCACTGGAGTGTCAACTTGTCTTATAATGGAACTCCTCAGTAGTGCGCAGTAACAAGTAGAGTTCAACTAGGTCTGTTGGGAGATATTAACTCACTGAAGCCAATAAGTGAACGGTTGCTCAACTTTGTAGATTGGCTGAAGTTGGACATTAACACCGTTGGATTCCGGCTTGGTGGTCTAGTGATTAAGAGCTCGCTCGTGAGACTGATAGATCCTGGGTTGGAATCCCGCAAGGCGGGGTCATGGATATGCACTGCTGAGGAGTCCCATAATATAACGTAACGGTCATCCAGTGCTTCATTGTTTTCCATGGTGGTCTAGCTTCAATTGACTCATGATTTCAACTAAATAAAATTACTAAAATCTCCACAAAACTTTCTTCTGATGATATAATTTGTGCTTTTAAAGAAATTTCAATTAATTAAATATACTACTGATAAGTAACATAAAGATAGAGTACAAAGTCTTCTAAAGCTTATAATAAATATATCACTCAAATAGTTGTGACATTTTCAACAAAACAAAAAAGTTACAACACATATGTGTCACAAAATTACTGGAAAAAAGCTAAGATACAACTTTAAAAGGTCTACAAGCTAACGTTACTGTTTCCCAATGATACATCTATTTGTCTTTGTAGAAAACGTATTTTCTTTACCTCATACCGAGTTGTTAAATATCACTGTATTGATAAATAAGTAGATTATACAAACTCAGTTTTTCTTTTCTCTATTTTTTTTTGTTTTTTTTTCTTTCTGTAAAACACAATATCAATGAATGTAATTAGATCAACTTAATGGAGAAAAAAAAGGAAAATACAAAATATAATTTATTTTTTAAACCTTATTTCAGTAATTTATTCAATGAAAAAGAGAGGGTAGAAACAAACATTTTCTAGCTTAGCAACTGGCATGTAATAATAATAATATTAATAATAATAATAATACTAATACTGAATATGTGTTACTATGCCCCTTGACATTTAACAAATCAAACATTGTTTAGTAAACATAATCAATATTGATTATTGTGATTACTGTTTAATTAAGGAATGTGTACCAAAAAATTATTTTTTTTATTTTATTAAATTTTTATTTGTATTTGTAAATAATTTCCAAAAAAAATGAACAAAAATAAAAAAAAACATTTTCTTTAAATGAGTTCATGTTTACAATTTGATCTTAATATAAAAGTATTATATAATATTCTATTTTCATTTCAATTTATATATATAGATATATATTTTTTTATAGTTGAAATCATGAGTTAATTGAAGCTAGACCAACATAGAAAACTTGGAAGTACTGGACAACTGTTTAGTCACATTGCAGGACTCCTCAGTGGTGCGCATCGACCGAAAACTCCACAAAACCCCTTCTGATAATAATCATATGCTCACTGGTGACTGACTTCAAGAGATATTTTCTGGAGTTCTAGTGAGAAGAAGTGACAAGTGGAGTTTAACCGGGTCTGTTGTGAGATATCTAATCATTGAAAAAAATGATGGATAGGTCGCTCAATTGCTTGGATTGGTTGAAGTTAGACATTAACACCACTGGATACCGGCCAACTCAGTGGTCTAGTGATTAAGCGCTCGTGTGCGAGACTGACATGTCCTGGGTTCAAATCTCGCGAGTCGAGATCGTGGATGTGCACTTCTAAGGAACTACATAGTAGGACAAATTGACCGTCCAGTGCTTCCAGGTTTTCCATGATGGTCTATCTTTAATTTACTCATGATTTCAACTATGAAATCTCCCCAAAACCCCTTCTGATATAACTGACGTTAGGCTTATATTTTATTGTCGTTTATATGGTCGATGAAATTGGCAACTTCTGTTTTAAAAACTTTTATTCATGATTGTTTTTTTTGTATTTTACAAAGAAAATAACCATATACTTCTGACTATATGTTTACATCGGAATATCAGTTTATTATTTGATTTTTATGAATTCATATAGTCGATTCTTTAACGAATAAGTTTCTATTCATCATCAAAATATATAAAACTATAAATTCACTTATAATTGTTTACTTGAAACTTCCCATTGTTATTTAGGCTTTCAACTGGTCAGTCTCTTACTGTCATATATGCATCCTGTGCGGACTGCCTTGATATTGCCTGAAGTCACAAGCTTTATGAGCAAACATAGATAGTGGCTAACAGTGGAGTGAAGGACGCAGGTTTCATCCTATTCGGGACTCTTCAGCTTGATGTACCTGCATTTCTAAGCTGATTTTCACTCTCGAGATTCTAACCTAGTACTATCGTTTCAAACACTAATCGAGATATTCACTTATCTACCGAGTTCATATAGACACTAACTTGTGTAACAAGCAGGAATTTTAATTCGATTCGAAATGAATTGAATTAGACAATATGTGCATTGCAATTCAAGTGGATGGTAATGGTTTTGAATCTCAATGTGAACATCATAACTGAGATGCAGGTACATCCATCTGACATGTCACAAATAGGACGAAACAGGTATCCTGGGTTCCACTACTAGCCACTATTTATCCTTGCTTATGAGTTATTCTTTGAAACTTTTAATATATTCCTTGTCATAGCATGAATTTCATATCCACACCATCAAATCTTTAAAAAAGTAGATGTATTTTCCAAACTTGTTGACAGTATATTCATAAATAACATTTATATTAAGTAATTAGGATAAATGACAAATTCCATTTATAAAATGTATGTTTACATAATTCCCTATTATTCAGTTATGATTATTTGTGTAATGACTCCCATAAACAAAATGGAAATATACACAGTGTGAAAAACAACTAACTGAACTATCTTACAGAGATAGATAACTCATATAAATCCCGTTTGTTCCATTGAATTGTCCATAGAAATAGTAAAACACTTGAAATGTATCTGTCACTTTGTCACCATCTCATATTCATCTACAGTAGATAGACTGGAGTCAATTCACTCAGAGTTGTTTTTATTTTCTAAAACAATATATGTCACATATTTATGATAGACATGTTAATGAACCTACAATAGACTATAATATTATGCCCCCTTCTGCTTATCATTTGTCTGAACAAACTGAAGACTATAATTAGTCTGTGTCTTTAGTTAAAAGGTGCCGATTAGTTATAAAAGTGACTTAATTCCTTGGTGTGTGTAACAATTTTGTGTTTATTTACAATGAATTAAAGTAGACTGATTGTTCACAACATTTTTGTGTTAGACAGTTGATGATTTATGTAGATTACAATTGCTTGTTGTTCTTGTTCTTTCTCATCTCATATGCTGGACTCTCATGTGTATGATTTCTATCATCCTCTCATCATTTTTCTTTCTGTATTTACGTATAGATTCATTCAAAAATATTTTTTATTATTTTTCTATTTTGTTTTAGCCCAATTGTATCCCATGTGGAGACTATTTTGTTTTGATAAACGTTTGATGATTATCATGAATGAAATTGTGAAAAAAGGGATAGTAAAGTTTCACAATAAAACTCACAAT